TTGTCATTATGAGTGCTTAAGCTAAGTTTTAATAACTTTCCTTTATAGCATTAATTCTCCAATTTTCTAAAAAATCTCCACTTTTTTAAAACGATGAAGTTTTGATACCTACCGAAACTGAAGTTTAGTTATATTTTGAGACATAAAGAAACTTCACCCAAAGAATGATTTATTTGTTAATAAATTTATTTGAAAATAAAAACAACTGAAATTATGGAAAATTAAAATATAAAATAAAAATAATACGAAGAAACTCCCACACTACTGTTTGAAACTTAACGGGCTCCAGTTCCTACGTGTCAAGGAATTTTATTATGTACCGCATTAAATATGGCTTACTCAAGTTGGAACGTGTGATTAGAAAAACTTTACTTCTCCAAGAATTTTTTTCGCATGCGTATATCTTTAGTATAACTTTAGTTATATGAGACAACATGATGGTGGAACTGTGAATTCATATAATTTTCTTCTTTGGGTGTAATTAGCCTGTCACTGACTTCGTATACCAACGTATAATAGTCACGTGATAATTTACTATTGTTGTTGTTAATATTCAATTTGATTGTTTTCATGTGTGTTATGTATCCAGATTTGCACATAACACACATACCTAAAACGTCAGGTCAATGCACTTGCATTCGCGCACCCCGGAACGCGCGCCCCGTGCATTGCAACGAGACCGATGCAAAACTCGTCATTTTAATTATAATTATGAGACACTTTTCGGCCCAACGTTCCTAACATCGGACATAGACTAAATTCCTTTAGTTAAGATCTTTTTCGTAAAAGCACTTTTAGACATAACGTACCTAACTTCAGACGTTCTCAAAATTATTTAGTTAAAGAAATACCTTTGTGGAAATTTAATATAGTTATTCATCATATTTTCTCGTCTTTACTTCATTTCCACTGCGGCCACCCTATATATAGTTTGTGCAAATGTTGTAAGTATCAAATTACATTCAAATTGTCTGATTGTTTTGAAATTGATTGACTAACGTATTTGAATTTTGTTTTTACAGTTTATTTTTTAATTGTGGTGTTTTATTTCTAAGACAGGCCATGGCCGAATATCAGCGAGGGCTACGTAATTAGCATAGTCCTCAAACGTTGAGTCATGGACCTTTTTTGACATGCTTTTTTTGCTTATTGTTTTAACTTTTTTTTCTATTCTTATTGTTTTTTTTTGTGTTTATGAACGAATTATTTAATATTTTATAACGCGTTTTGCATGTCGAATAAATACGATTATATTTTATTTTATAATGCGTCAGTAGTGCTTTTATACGGGGTGCAGGAGAGGAACCTCCTCGCACAATCGGCGAGTACTTACGCAGATTGGCAAATACGTTCACCACCTTACACTGCAATGCTAGCCATCGACACGATAAGGAAAGGTGCTTTATCACACGAAAGTCTTAAAACTAATACGAACTACATGAGACAAATTATGCACATGACAAAAATTTTATACCTTTCTTATCTAAGCATAAATCTAGGGTCGGTGGACTAATTACATAAGTCAAAGTGCTTCATTTGTTAATCTAAAATTACATATTTTTTGTGTTCTTTATAGTGTTGGAAGATGTGAAAATGATAAATTTGAAAAAGACGCCTCTAGAATAAAGTTACAAATTTATGAAATAACAAATCATCGAGTATATAACCAGAAATAGAGACGAAATGTCATTTAATTTGTTTGAAAACTATTCTGCTATATCATTACCGCGACAACTGTGCTCCGATTGGCTATCCCGAGTTCGAAACAATTGACGGGTGTCGTCAATGGGTGTCGTCAACTGTTTCACTTCAAATCGACCAGTTAACTTGAGCTTTGTCTAATGGACGAAAATTGCAAAATTACATATTTAATATTTAATTACCGATGAAATGTTATTCCGTTTGTTTTGTAATTAGATGTTTTGCTGTTTTTCCACACCACCGAATAGAACAGCACGGCATTGTTAGAGGTTTTATCTTTATTACAATAAATACAGAATATTTTTTGGAATATGCGGAGGGTCAGGTCAGTAGTTGGCCTGTTTATATTTCAGTGCAAAAGAGAGTTGATATTTATAAGAGCTGTATCGCTAATGTGTTACCAGGAATATATGGCCTTTATTTCGTCTCTATTACTGGTTATATACTCGATGTAACAAATGAATTTGACTTATGTGCTTTAGCCGGTACATGTATTAATTTAAATGAATGATGTTGGGTTTTGACATATCGCTCATTTGGAACGACAGTGACACAATTGCAAATTTGTTATTTTACACTACACCATTATTAAGATTTTTTCGTAACACTTATGAAGATTTTATATATTTCTTACAGCTAATGGCTACCTCTATTATTTTACTTTTGTAGTTTGAACATTAAGGACATTAATAGTTTTTTTTTTTTAATTATTAGTCCAGTATCTGAGGGAAAAAAAAAAAAACATTTTAATACTTACACTTGCGTCGTTGTTACCCTAGAAAATGAAAGTATTGGTAGCTATGACTTTGGTTGTCTTAATATAAAATGAAAAAAAAAAGATTAATTAATACAAGTAGCTTTATTTCAATTAAAAATTACAATCACAGTCAATGCCGACTTAGAATTAGCAATTTATTAAGGTACAATGTCGCAGAGCTTTATCCTAATGACAGTTTAATAATTATAAACTATTCAATAAGTACCTACTAAATAACATCATAGGATACGTCATGCTATTTTTTATCAGTCTTACCCGTTTTTATCTTTATGGCACAGAAAAATCGCAGATGTTTACTACACTTACCTACACTATATTCTTAAAATCTATAAGCCTGCACTTGCAAAAAGTTACTCCTAAAAGTTAAACTTACTCAATATAATTATAAAACTTATAATCAATGGAATGTTAGACCCCTTATTAAACCATTATTGTTGTGAAGTACTCAAAGGACTTCCGTGAATGACAATTATTTAGAAATATTAAAAAAATATTAAAATAGACAACAGATAAAAATATTTAAAACAAACTTTCGTAAAATCCAGAATAGCATCTTGGAATAATATTTTTTTGTAACAAAGTCCGCAAATCCTGTTTTTTTTTATCAGAAATCGTTAGTTTAGAATTATAAGCGGCTCTTAAACGTATTTCACGAATGTGTAAATTATTATCTGATCGAGTTTTACGCGTATTAATGGTTGCTTTTGATTTTACTGATATCCATTCACCATCATAAGAATATTTTAAATCATAAGTCTCACTATTTTTTACAAATCGTATAGATTTTATTTCAGATAACTTAATCTGGTTACCTTGCAGATCTTTGTTAACATTTAGTGTAGTATCCTCAAACAACTTTTTTAAATCATAAAAATCGTCATAGTTCAATTCGTTAACTACAAAAGCATTTCCAGTTTTCTTTGAGTCTCGTATAAGTTGAACATACTGGTAAGGAATGTAGATAGGACCAGACTTTTTTGCTCTTTTAATTGACTTTTCGATTAGCGAATGAGCATTGTCACCCTCATTTTGGGTGTGGCCACGAATAAAATATTTATGGGTAATCGATTTTATTCGAAGAGTTTCAACGGCGTAATAATACATGCCAACCAGGAATCTAGAAGAGCAAAATATAGAAATTGATCAAAGAAATATTTTGATATTTTATTTTTTTTGAAAAATAATGACAGTGTAAACTTACCTGTTTTTCTGCTGACCACAGCAGTTGTCAGAGTAGAATATTATATTGCTATTTGGATAACGTTCGGCAGTCTCTTTCAGAAATTTCAATACACAAGAACCAATTTCTACAGCTCCTCTATTGCCAAGTCCCTCGTGCCAGAAATAGCAATTAGTAATGTTATCTTTTATATTTGTAATCTGTCAAAATAGTTAAAATATTAGTATTTATATATAGGTAGTTACACACGTATAGAATAGGGAAAATACAAACCGTAAAATTTAAACAATTTAATTTCGATTTGTAGAAGAACGCTGAACTATTACCAATTGGTACAGGCATAACTGCCTGTAAATCATATATTGCAACGATAGTTTCTCCATTTTCTTTTACCAACTCTATATCCTTCGCTTTCTCTTCCCTACTTAATGTTTTCTGCTTTAGGTGTTCTTCGTAACATTCTTTTAATTTGATTTGGTCTTCTCCACTGGCATTTTTATAAGACTCGCAGAGATCGCACTGATCTTTTTTGGGCGCAAAAAACGATAAATTAAATTCAGTGTTGAAAATTCGGTAGTATATATCAAATGATGCTGATGGCATTGTTCCTCTAATAGATACATAATTACGATGCAACTCTTTAACAGTAAGACCGCCATCAATAAATTCACGAGTAGTGTTAGCTCGAGTATAGTGACTCTCAATTCTAGGTACAGAGTTAATATGATCGCGAACCGATTGTAAGATTTCCGGGTTTGTTTGATTATGATGCCCATGTTTGCCACGTTTATCTTCTGGGATCACACCTGTACTACAGCTATTTCTACCTTCAATAACAGTTCGCAATGTTCTCTCGGATATCCCCAAAGTATTGATAAAAAAAATTTTACACACTCGGTTACTTTCGCCATTCACCGTGAAATGAAAAACACAATTTTGTTTCCTAGTTTTGGCAGCTCCTTCTTTTACTCGACGGTAAGGGACTTTTAATGTTGTTAAACAGGAGTTTAAAAAATCACGCTGCCTTTGCAGCGTTCCCAAGCCCCAATAACAATCAAATATTTCCTGTCTTTGTTCTTCCGTTATTTTATTACGACATTTGAGTCTACATTTTTCTGTACATGGTAATTTAATAGACTTTTCTGCGACAGTTTTTCCAGTTCTAGATATGTATTGTTTTCCAGAGTTACGTTGTCGTTTTCGTACATTCTTTATCCACGCAGACTCATTCCGAACTCTCTTCTTTCCTTTCTTGGGTACAGTAGTCTCGGCAGGTAGCGCTACATCTTGGCTGGCATCCATTAAATTGGAATTTCTGACCGAATCATGAGTAGTCGATGTCTATGTTGAGCTAGAAGTAGAATCAGACGAACTGGACGATGAAGAAGAACACGAGGAGCTCGTCGATGAGCTAGATGATGTTGAATTCATACGGCCACGTTTAACAGATTGCTCTGGTTTATATTCGTCACCACTATCATCTGCAGAAAAGTCTTTAGTTTCGCTTTCACTACCATTTTCGTCGTTAGCTAGGATTGGTGGCGAATTTGTATTATTTAGGGAAGATATAATGTTTTCCGTCACAGTCAATGCTGTTTGGTCTGCAGTATGTATCTCTGAAATTTAGGAATGAAACATTAAAACTCGACACTGTGCAAAAATATTAAACAAAAACTATAAACGCACATTACCATTTACACTGGCAGAATTAAAGCTATTGGAAGAAGATTGGTCCTCAATACTACCAGAATCCTGTTCACAAAGTTTGACTAACATTCGTGCTCGGCTTCCCATTTTAGTGGCTGAAATTGTATAACAAATAATAATAATCTTTGTGAGTTATATTTGATATAAATTATTGTAATTAGTCATTATTGTTTTAATTATTACTCATTTCAGGATAGTACTGACGTAATTACATTTATGTCTAAAAAAAATCTAAACTTTTAAAGGAATAACTGCGTAATTGTACGATACGTCTTTGTAGCCATAAAACTATTTGAAATATCACGAACCATTTAATGAAACAACGGCACATTTGTATGATACGTCATTGTAGCTATAAAACTATTATCTTTGCAAGTTTAAAAGTGTCATAAAGTACAATTGCGTCTCTGTAGTTCCTAAGTTTAATTTAAAAAAATGACATATTTACCTTAGAGACGATGTAACTCCCTGACACGTGCACACTATGAAGGGCGCCCCGCGCAACTGAATGTTTGGCCGTTGTTGCTCGAAATTCGCGCGCGAAAATGCAATATTTCAACAACGTCTTTTCGTTCTCTAGCGGACTTTTTTGGAAGTTATAAATATGACGTTTTCACTTCTAACGAAGATTATTATGGTGATCGTTGTGGTTTAATTAAGTCGATTTCGCATTTTTTGCAATTGTGTCACTGTCGCTCCAAATGAGCGATATATGTCTTTAGTCTGCCGACCCTAGAAATAAGTTATCGACTAAATTGGTTCGTAGGCTCTTTAAGCCACTCTCCTGAGAAGGTGTCATTTTGAAAATATGGCCATATAACACCAGTGAGTATACGAATAATGATTATTCCTATTTTATATTAGCGTTCTTATTAATATCTTCTTCTTCCTGCGCCTCTTCGATCCTTAAAGTTAGCCGTCAGCTTCTTGTATTCATCTCTATCAGCAGCCAGCTGTTCAACGGAGACAATGTCCAGCCCCTGAATTTCCGCAGTCACGATTTCTTCCTTCTCCCAGCGCATCTCTTTCCCTGCAACTTTGCCCATCATTATCAATTATAATAGTATGTATATATTCTTCTTGGTCACGTGACCGAAATATATATCAAGATATATATGCCTTCGGGCATCATTTTCCGGGACATATAAACGCGATGAAGCACTTTTTCGTTTCTGACCTTCTATTACATCATTAATATAGGACACATTTTATTACTGTACTTTTTGATAATGAACGAAGTTAGATATGTTATCTGAATTCTAATTTTTTCGCAACAAGTTTAATACCTTCTAACATTTATAATTCTAATGTTTATTGATGGTGATAACTACAAAAATAATACTATTTAAATTAGTCGGCAAAGCCACCTATTATATTACCTGCGTTCCATATTAGTTACTTGTGCCAATAAAATGTATCCGGATGTTACCACGATTGTTATCTATAATTCATTCCAGGATGACGCGTGATCAAATGATGCCTGCCTTCTATACTTTATTATGAAGATGTGTGTATGTGTTATGTAACTATGTTGAAGGCCGTGAAATGGGTCAAATTATTTTGTCTACTTCACAAATCCCCGATGTTTAGCACGATTTATTAATCATTATACATGATGAACTATGTCTTATTACGGTAACCTATCACTTAATAGGAGTTGTGCATGTGCTCACTGAGAGTACGGATAATCCTATTGTCAGATGCACGGAGACGGCCCCAAAAGCTGGCGATGCCAGATCTTATTAATGCGAAAAAATTTATACGGGGAACCCCGGCCTCCGCGAACATATTCGATGCGCTGTAGCATCTCGGCTGGTTCTTTAGAATGAGATATGCATCATTATACTGCAATTTAATGGTGCTCATCGCGCGTTTCTAAAACCTACTCCAGAGTTGACATGTATAGAAGCATAAACAATATGCCCTAAACAACGTCACTCTGACATCACTATTACATCGCGTCAATCAGCGCGCGAGCATGTTGCACCGAACTGCTAGAGCCCTGCGCTCTCGTTCTATGTCGTCATCATCAACTAGACTCTCCTTTAGCAGGCGCCCAAGGTATTATAATTGTATTTTACAAGGTTATAATAATTTTGATTATAGCAACATTGATTTGGATTCAAAATTTTAGCATTTTGGGGTTGGCATTTTACACGATGAAACTGAGTACACTTAAGCGTGCATCGGTATTATGAACAAAGTCATTGTGGTAACCAAAATGTGGACAACTCCACAAAGCTCCACATTTGTTTGGACTGCTGGCCTTGATTGGTTGGTTCGTGAATGAAGGTTAACAGAAGATAAATAAAGAAAGTAAAAAGAAAACAGACGTTAATTGTGAACGACGATGTGAGAATTATTGATGATAATCGTTTATAAAATTAAGAGGTCGTCAGAGATTTTAATAAAAGCGAAAGTATAACTACTCACCAAAAAAAAACAGATCGTACCTTAGAAATGTCATTTCTCAGGCCACTCGATGGTTAATTTAATTAATAAATTACGTTAGTCTCTAATTTTTGGCAATGTCATCATAGCTTCTGTAGATGTCGAAGCGAATATCATAACATTTGTTAAAACTAATAGAGCAAACATTAGTACTTCATCATCATTATCACCATCATATCAGCCGGAAGACGTCCACTGCTCAACATTGGGCTCCCCCAAAGATTTCCAGACCAGACGATCGGACGCGACATGCATCCATCGGTTACCCGCCGCCCTTACCAGGTCATAGGTCATCCGTCACATTAGTACTTAATGAACAAAAAATATAACTAGGATAAAAAAAGAAAAGTATTTAAAAATTAAACGTGAAATATAAGGTATTATAGATGCAATAAAAATTAAAACAATATTTTTTTCAAAATCGATTATACACCAGAAAATATGCTTATAGTATGATGCGACGCAACCCGATAGTTAATTCCGAATGTTCACCGTTACGTTGAAAGACGGATGTTTTATCTATTTCTTTTCTCAAATTTCATAACTATCTACTTGGTTTTTTTATAACGTCGTCTACGAAGTAATGAAGATATAGCTACTTATAGATTTTGATTACTATTACAGATAATAAATATCACTTAAATTAGTAGCAATAGCGTTATTAATAAAAAAGACACCGCATGTGTCAGTAGTATCATTTTTGTTTCTTAGAGATAGTTTGCAATTTTATAAACATGTCGATAAAATTTATTCTTGTAGTCGTAAGTACATTTATATTAATCGGCAATGTACATAGTGAAAGAAGTAACAGAGCCATAAATATTGAGTGGGACCCCGCACATCCACCCTTTGATCCAAATATATACGAGGAAGTTTTAGATCCTGAGCTATGCGCAAAACAAATACAATATTTAATCACTAACGATACGCTTTTGATGATGACATGTAAGTACTGTGAAAAGTTTTTTGTGTCTATTTGGTTATTGGAGAGGCAAAAAATGTACAAAAATGCTCCCGGATACATAATTCGAGCCACTTTGGATTATCAGTATTAATTGTCCTTAGCTTAAATAATGTTTGATTGATGAATAACTAATTCAAATTTGAAACTGGTGTACTAAACGTCATTTTCAAAAGTGTGTGATGAAAATTTGAATTTGCGAAATCGGGAAAAACTCTTCAATGATAATATTTTTTTTTATTCTTGAAAAATCAAAATGCAAGATGGCTCGATTTATGTGTCCGAGAGTGTATTATAGTGTTAGTATAAAGTGAGTATATTTAAAAAAATTATCGAAAGCTCCGGCCTGACGCATCGGAGAATTACTTCTGGTGGCAAGGGCCATAAGAATATCTGCCATCCGAGCTGCCGCGTAGCCGTAATGAGTCCTCGACAAAGTTCTAATATTTCTTTTTAATAAATTAAGATTAAGTGAAAAAGTAAATTAGTTTAATAGTTCGTTTATTTTGTACAATAAGCATATTTAAAGTTATCTGCGTAAAAATATCATCAACATGAATTTTTTTTTCTACAATATTACTTTAAATGCCTTTGCCTTTAAATACCTGATGATATTAAAGGACATAATTGTTTTGATGCTATTTTCATGTATAAAATACATTTAATAATTATTTCTATATATTTTAAAATATCATCCAAATATAAAATACTTATGTATGTACTTTAGTATCATTTAGTAGTAGCAGTAGAGCTCCTTGTGAAAGAGTTCGTCCAGGCAAGCACTGCTACCTTACCTATTTCTACCGCCAAGCAGTAATGTTAGCATTACTGCGTTCCAGTTTTTGAAGAGGAAGGGTGCTGGTGAATTTACAGGCACATGGCACTTGTCAACTTATGTCTCAGTGTGACGAGCTGCGATGTAAAGCGATTTAAAGCTCTGAGTGGCGCTGCAACTGTTATGGACAGGCGTGTAGCTTACCACCAGGCGGACGACTTGTTTTTCCCATCACTTAATATAATATAAAAAAATGTAATATTACTGAATAAAAATGAATGTTGGTTACTCCACTTTTGGTCTTGTAGCTTTTTTTTTTCATACTATGCGAATATTACTCATAACGTCATAAATAAATAACAAACAGAGTTTCATAACGAAACACTTGCTGATAAAAATCTCGTTATTTCTTAATCAGCATATATCATAATCATTTTCAATTCATATCTTCCTTTACTGTCAAGAGATTGTGGATAAATGTGAATCAATATTATAAAACAAATTTGTATGATAGAAATTAATGAAAATCAATCTTTCAGTTCTCGAGTCAGGCCCAAGAATACCGCGAGCAATTCTGCAAGGAAATCTATTGGATCTTGGAAATTATCATCAATGCCTTGGTATTAACAAAGAAATCGATGACATGGTTATTGAAGGGAAGTATTGCCAGATAAGAATTAGATTTTCAGATCTTGTAAACCTAAGAAATGCAAGGGGAAATGAATGGGAAAACTTTAAAAAATCTGGCGATGCTTTAATAGACGATTTGAGTATATATGAAAGAATACAAGAAAATTTAGAAATGCTGAATGGGATAGAAAGTACACAAAATTTAAGGTACTATGAATAATTATATTGCTATAGTGGTGATAGTTCAGAAGAAAAACAGCGTCCATTTTCATTTCTAAATTAACCTCTCTCTAACAATTAAGGAAAACATCGTCATGAAACCTGTATCTCGAAGACTGTTCACAAACCCCGGAAAACGCGTCAAGTTTCCAACTTGCACTGGGCTAGTATCGCAGGCAATGTAACTGGTAGTGCCATCTATTGGCTTTTCCCTCATTAGATCAGTTTATTTCTGAGCTCGTGTTTCTCCCCTAAATTATGCTCCACCAAAGCCGCTTAAAACATAGTGAGGAAAAAATTACATTGGTATAACTTTTGAACGCTATTTTGTGAAGTTCAATTAAATGTGTGAAGTGTGAACAGGAGACGCCTGATACGCAGGTTGGATCCTATTTCCTCTTATCTTACTTGCGAGCTCACTTTTTCCATAGCAGCTCAACACGAGCTATCGTAAGTGAAACAATTTTTTTTTAATATTTAGTGTCACCACTAATCTAAACCCTCTTCTTAGATGAGACCCGTGCCCTGCCAGGGAACATATACGGGGTAATAAAATCGTAATAGTTATTGATGCCGACGTTGGTATTGTCACTAGGCTATTACAAATACTGTTTAATACATTCTTTTTTTCGAAAACACCGGTTTTCTTAAAGTCTCCTTTTGGTTGGTATTATTAAATAAATATTTATTAGTGAACATGGAAAAGTATAAGGGTTTTGGAAATGCGTCTGCAACATTTATAATTGAAACTTTATTACTACACTGACATTTTCATTGGTCAGTTTTCAGTGTTAAAATTACACTTACAATTACACAGGATATTCAATACTTTTATTATATAACGAAGTCCTTACACAAACTTTAATGATTTAGATTTTAGTAAAAATGTTCATTTAATTCCTTCATTCAGCTAGATGTAGATAATGACCGATACGCGTAAACTTCGGGAAAGATCGAGATTTTACTTTCCCTACAAACATTGTTTTACGTTTGGTATTGGTATTGGTGCAACGGGCTGGTTTCCGCAAGTCGACGTCGAGGCGCCTATTTTGCGTGTGGTGGGTGCAGGGTCCTACTCGTGCCACCCAAGCTCCTCCAGGAATCTCAGCAGCCTCTTCGGTTTTCTGAAAACTTCGGGGAGCGACCTCGGCACTCCAAGGTACTTTGCCCTGTAGTTGGCCACACCGGAGCACTCTAGTAGGATGTGTGCGGCCGTTTCCTCCCCCTCCATGCACGCTCTGCATAGAGGACTGTCCGTGATACCTAAATTGAAAAGGTGTTTATTGTATGGACTATGACCCGTTAGAGCGGTAGATAGAGTGCGCAGCTCTTGTCTTTCAAGTTTGATTAATTTACGAGATAGACTGGCGTTGAGCGTTGGGAGTGCTTCCCTAGCCTGTCTACAAACCGTAAGGGTTGTCCATATGTTATTATGAGAAGATTTTGTACCTTTGAGTATAGTTGTTCTTGACCATATTGGTTGGGGAGGGACACTATGGGTTCTGGCCCTACAGCATCCGTCTCCGACCCTTTTCTAGCTAGTTCGTCTGCTGCGTCGTTGCCACATGAGCCGCTGTGTCCTTTAATCCACTGTAGAATTACGTGGTTGTGTGTACATACCTCCATGATTGCTTGATGGCATTCATATATTGTTTTACGTTTTAGCACGGGTGCAGCAAATATCGGTGGCTTAAACTTTAGAGTAGCTGTTTGCATACCAAAGCCTTGCTCCGTAAAGCATGCCGTATCAAATCTCATTGGAACGGGGTTGATCAATGTTGATGAACAATTTTGTCGATTCAAAAATGACAAACCATGGGCGCCTAGTGTTTACGTAGCTATGTAAGTACTTTTTATTTGATTGTAACGTGTTGTATTTATTTCAACTTCAGTTGAGCGTGAAATCCTACTAGATATTGGGTAGATGTTTATTAATAAGATAGCACTGTTAACAACAACGTCTGTCGCCATTTAAGTTTTTCATTATCAGGAACCGATTAGAAATGAAGCGTGAAGAATGTGTAGATATGTGATTGCGCATCTGTTCATAACATACTTTGGTTTTCAGTGTCGTATTAAGTTTACTTGGTTTATTGGCCATTCTTAGCACAAGTTATGATATCTGGAATACCCAAATTCGTAAACGAGGTAAGTTCTTATAATCTTCTCGTACGTATGTCAGTAGGCGCTTCGTGATAAAAAAAAAGCAGCTGTTTGTAGCTAAAATGGACAGTGTCAAGATGTTCTGTGCTTTAAATATACAAAAAAAACTTAACGAATCAATTACATTTAAAATTATACTAAAAACATTTCGTCGCCTTACTTTCTCAAACTCATATGTTAAAGCACAACGTTACTGAAATGCAAAAAATGGACTGTATATACAAATTTTGCAGGCTGTCATTTCCTTCATATCTACACACTGGTTTTTGCCTATTCATAAAGTAATGCATCCAAATTAACACACTTGATATCAGTACAGAGTACTAAAAAAACCGACCTCAAAAGTGCGTGGACTTACATTATAATTACCAACTTTTATTGAAATCGGTTACCGGAAAGTGCGCAAACCCGGATTCATCTCTAGTTCGCCACTATACGGGACTTGACACAGGAGATAATAAAAATCGGTTCTCACTACCCAAAGTATATTGAGAATAGCAAAATCAACCATTAAAATAAATGCTCATTATACTAAAATTTAGGCGCTATTTACAAAAATGAATCTTCATGCCCCTTAGCGGTGGATGATTTTCTTCAAAACTAAAACTATACCAAACTATATACCACTATGGAGGTACCCTTCAGGAGGTTCACAAATGTCGGAGTTATCGCGTAACATACAAAAAAACATGCAGTCGAATTGAGAACCCCTACTTTTTTGAAGTCGGTTCAAAAATTTAAAATAAATAAAAAGTTTAACCATCTCCTGAATAATCACTCTTTATAAGATACGAGTTTAATAAAGAAAGGCATCGATTTCAAAAATAATATATGTATACAACATTCATTCGTTGCGGTTGTCAAACTGATTTTGTACCATATTTAGTGAAGTTTGAAAGCACGTGGTATGTAACATTGAAAATATTTCATTTAAACACTGTATACATGTGTGCTGAAAAATTTGCTATATGTGGTCCATGTGAAACAGCCCATAATTATAACAAATTGAATATTTTTTATTGTTTGTTATTAATCATAATAATGTAAGTAATATGTGCCAGATAACCACACCAATTGCCTGGTCTCCATTTAGCGAATTCCCTGTACCATGAGTACCGGAACAATGGAATTCCAGGGTACTTCCCAGACCGGAACCACCAATGATAGTTCATTTCCTAGATAAAATTGGTCCTACCGAACTTGGAACCTCGGCATCCAACGCCCACAATGTACGCGGTTAAGCCACCGAGTTCGTCAAAAGGATTATGAGTGCTTAAAGGGGATTGATTATAAATTTTACGAAAGATTTATTGAACCTTTTAGTCTGTATGTAAAACTGGTTGTTAAATTAGTAGTAATAGTAACGGCAACCTATCACAAACTCGACTTCAATTCCGAAATAACGTATGTTTGAATTTTCATTACACCGAAAACCGAATTATAACGAAACCGTTGTTCTTTCAGGATATGTTGGATGTTTATCGCAAAGACACGATTAGGTTCGGTTAGGTTAAGTTAAAAGAAAAAACGTTTTCCTCACAAAATTACTTTCGAGGTTATGAAAATTCGAGCAAATGTTATTTCTGGAAAATGTCATTTGTTACTACTGATATGTAACCAATAGTAACTTAACAATTTTACTGTTTCAATTTATTCAGCGTTTTAAGGCTTAGGTCGGAAACCTAAGCCTTAAAATTGCATTCTTTGTTAATGACTTCCACTTTTGAACATCGGGCACTGACTGACCGCCCAATTATTTTATTTGATCTGTCCATAATGTTTACTTACACTGAACCCACTAATTAGCTTTTCGATGTTAGCCATCAAAATACATACACTCATTAATTTTCGTTGCCAAAAATAAGCAATTATATAAATATTACTTATATATAGCGAGAACAAAATATTATCTAAGCAATACTATTAATACTTAGGTACTGGTATAATTTCATCATATGATCGTTAAAATGACATTTATCCCATCTACAGCGAGCCAGCTTTTAAATTTATTAAATTGAATACTTTTGACAATAAATTATTTATTTCAGATCCCAAGTCGCTCAATACAATTTACCAATCATTCTCAGTATATACAAATTCTCGTCGACTGATCACATATAAACCAGTTCGCGGTGCTTTAGAATGTGTCGACGGTATCAGAACAATAACTATGCTTTGGGTTGTAATTGGTCACCTACTTGTCACTTTGCCACCAATTATCAATAACGTGGACTATTTTGAGGTAATTTTGATTTTGGAGTATATATCTATCTACAGGAAACGCATTTAATATTAAGGATATTGGAATCTCAGATATAAATAGGCGACCACTTTTTAATGGGTAGTTCGTGTAATGGCTTCCATTTTCAAATTCCATTGGAAAAAAAATAAATTTGGAATAACTGTACCTGTCCTAGGTACAGTTATTCCAAATTTATTTTTTTAATAAGGAGTTGAATATTCGCCATTAATTAAATTCATATTATTCTTTTGCAGTGGGGTTTTTCCTTTGCTTCAATTTGGTTGACTGCATCCCCAATTGCTGTGGACACTTTCTTCCTGCTAAGCGGTTTACTGATCGTCTACACTAGTTTTGGAAAAGTTAGCAATAGTGAGTATATAGTCAAGTCTTTTCTCACTTGTTTTTTTTTGAGTACGTACAATCCTTATCTATTTAGTTTTATTGCGTGTTACTTTGAAAATATGATACACCCGCTCGTTAATTTGTTTTTTAGATACTTAACATCCTGTTCTATTTTCACAAATTTATATATGGTTGCTTTTCAAGAATAGCGGCTTAAACCAAAATAGTTCATTTTTTGTCTTATAAGACAGTAGCCGTGTTAGCCTAATGGTTTGACCTACTGCCTCTCAAGCAGAGAGACGTGAGTTCGAATTCGGTCTCGCACCCCTGAGTTTCTCGGAATGTATGTGCGAAATTTAATTTGTAATTTATCATGAGCTTTTCGGTGAAGGAAAACATCGTGATGAAACCTCACGTTCAAGACGGTTCTCAACTTTTGCAAAACGTGTGAAGTTCCTAACCCGCATTGGGCCAGTGTGGCTGTTTATGGCCTAAACCTTCGTCTGAAAGGAGACCCGTGCCGTGCCGTGAGTGGGCCGTATAAATGGGGTTGATGGTGGCGGTGGCCGAAGACAGTTGCACTCAGAATGAGTTAAGTTTTATTGTGAAAATGACACAGACCTTTTTATTGTATAAATATAAAAAAAAAACTTGTCTACAAAGGTCTGTATAACATTTATCGGCCTTGCATTTTAGATATTCTGCATTTAGATTTAAACCTGATTCTACCTGATGAATTAGGTGATTTTAAGATAGGCAGCTATTCTGGAAACCCATCGATATACACACGTCCGATAAAAAATTTAAGATCAATGTAATAAAAGAAAAATATAAAAACCAATGTGCCACCTTCTTTCGTCAATGTGCGCTTTCACAATACTAAACGAATGACCAAAATTATGTTTTTTGACTGTCGAATGAGAAATTTAAAAATATAATTTGTACTGTGTGTTTTTCACATGTTTTTAATGACTCTTTAATACAAATTTCTTTAATGTTTCCTGGAAATTATATTGTGTGTACTTGTATCTTACCTGATCTGTAGTTCGGCTTCATCCTAAAGTTGCTCGTTTCATCTTTTCTGGAAACTTGTATTATATACTTTTCCTAATCTATCTTTACAATGCATTTTGTTTGTTACAGTGAAACTAATAAAGAACCTTCATCTGTTTTATCTCAATCGAATTCTACGAATGTTTCCTCTGTTAGCTACGGTCGTGCTGCTGAGTGTTGGTGTTTTACATTATATCCATGATGGTCCAAATTGGCACTCAGTAGCGGACATCGTTGAACAATGTCGAATAAACTGGTGGTCAACATTGCTTTATGTGCAGAACTATATTCGACCAGTGGTACGTGTCATCGGTTTCTTAATATTTGCAAGTGTATTGTTATATAATGCAAAAAAATCATTTCTGATTATATTTTACACCAAATTTCCAAATTCCATTGACCGAAAGTTTAAAATGTGCGTTATTTTTTTGAATCAGTTTAACCTGTAAGTACAAAAATTCTTGTGATACTACACCCTGTTGAACAGGTGACATAAAATCATGAATATTGATTTTTTTATAATCGGTTTCTTCAACTGGTTAAGAATTTTCTTCCATTAAGATTATGTTTGCTTTCAGTGTGTACCTCAAACCTGGTACTTAGCAATCGACATGCAGCTACACATTTTGTCTCCGCTGGTGTTATTCTGGGTATTATCAGGAAAAAAAAATATCGCGTGGTCGGCTTTGATTATTGCAGTATTAGTTTCTCTCACAGCGTCATCAATATACAATTTTATGAATAATTTTAGTGGTTCTTATGTTCGACCAGAGTAAGTATTGCATAAATACAAATTGATTGGTAATTGTAATCTTCTACGTCCTAAAGTTTATATAAAAAATGGTCACAATTTTTTGAACGTAATAAACACATCTTTACCTTATGATCTATTACATGCCACAATTCTTATCTGAGTCCTGTAGTCATCCAACACGTTGGCTCAAAGCGGGTTCGGTTTCTCACGCCTTCAAAGAATTTTGTAAATTTTCTCATATATGAAAGTTCCTCCACGATGTTCTTTACCGTTGGGTATAACTGGATAACTGACAGATTTCTGAAAAGACTCTGTGGCGTACGCCCTTTTGATGGAAACTTTTAACCGAGAATCTCCCACATAGGCAAACGTCTTCAGTGAGAGGCTATCACTACTACACGAATCTGTACAAAGTTTTTGATTTTAGAATGAGTGGAGCAGAACATCTAAGATACAGGAGATATTATTACTACAATACATTAACAAGATGCTCACCTTTCTTTGTTGGTATGTGCTTTGGATACTTGATACATTATTGGAGAGAAAATAATATTCGATTAACAAAGGTAAGTTTAAACTCTTAGCAGTTCGAGATACTAACGAAAAGTAATATTTATTTTATTTTGATTAATAATAACTGCCTCCATGGCCGAACGGTTATGGTACCATGCAGAGGTTCCAGGTTCGATTCCCGGTATTTATAATATTTGTATGGTCTACATTTATTTCTCTCGTAAGTTTAGGTGTAATTTGTGGTTGTCTATGTGTGTGTCCATGACACCCGCGACACAGGATTTCCATCTTATAGGCCAATAACTTTAACATCTTGTATGGGAAAATAATCGAGCAACTTTTAACACAGAGATTAGAATTCTCTATAGAACACAATAATATCTTACCTTCTAATCAGTTTGGATTCAGAAAGGGTCGATCTGCTAAAGAAATGAATCTGAGAAAGTGTATCTCATTTACAATTAGATATGTTTTATTCAGTGCAGGGCTATGTTGAGTGTGTGCATGTGTGCGTTATTAATAACGACCATCATTTTGTTGTAAAAATGTCATTCGGGTCTTGAACGAAATGGCTCGCTGCAATATTTCGATGTAGTGCTCTGATCAACGCGTCATACCGCCGTATTAGTACAAATAAAATATAATTACACTTGAACTAATATTTAAAAAATCCATTAGAAAACGTGTACCTACTCCAAAACGTCGAGAGCCCCATTTACACAGTCACACGCAATAGTGTGCGATTACATGTTTGAAGTTTTTTACACTAAGGCTCTTTCGCACACGATTGCTCGTGTTCGTTTTTGTTACAACGGAAAGAGTTTCGGTGTAAAGGCTAATAGCGCAGGATAGACCGCGTGGAACTGGCTCGTGTTGGAGTGCGCGATTGCGCGCGCGACTGATGAGCGCAATCTCGCGGTCTTTCCCTGTTCCTTCCAACATCTTTACACGTGCACTGAACCGCGCACGATTGCTGTATCACGCGCGATAGTGTCTGTGTAAAGCTCGCTACTAAAGTCACTGTAGGAAAGCTAAGAACTCGTCGAGACTAATTTAATGAGCCCAAACACGATACGATTGTTCTTGTTGTGTAGTCTGCAGTCTGTTCTAGTTGCAGGGTCATATCAAGGTTACTTATAATGAGATTTAGAATACCAAATTTCAAATCGATTGGACAAGTGATTTTTTTTTCGCACACACTCATAGCCCCGCACTAAGGAATCCCTGTGTCGCGGGTGTCACAGACGCACACATAGGCCATACAAATATTTCTCCTGGCCTGGGAATCGAACCCGGATCTCAGCGTGGCAGACCAGCATGATAACTGTGCAGCCATGGAGGCATTGAAGTGTATTAAAATACATATTCATTAGCCCGTTACACCAAGTACCAAGTCCCAAGTATTTATTACTTGGGGCGCGTTCCCATTATGTCGTTACGTTTTATTTATCGTTAGACGACTGTCGCTTCTAAACTGTTCCCACTGGATCGTGACGAGAATTTATCGGTTCACGTCAGCCTCCTTATCGTTTGCTCGACTGAATAGTTTGATGCACGGCAGTGGGCTCTACGTTCTGTTTGATGAGCCACAATAAATAAAACTACAATAATAGGAGCTGCGATTATCTGTCGTCACATTTTAATTGTATCGTTTTATTTCTTGTCTGATGACTGTCGTCTTAGCTCTTCCATTGTCTTGACAGTCTGTTGTCATAACTTCAAAAAAGTCGTGAACGACATTTAATCGTGTGCTGCTCTATGTGTGTGTATATAACTCCATTTACATATACAAGCCACGACAATTTGAACTGCACGACCATCTGTCGTCACGACAAAGTGGGAACGCCATCTGAGGGACACAATCTGATAATCTTAAAAGAGCTGAATAGATGTTCATCGAACATACGAGTAGCTAAGAACCGTCCCGATCAAAAATTTGCCTTCATATAAAAAAACTGTTTGGACATTATGATGCTACAGACAAACACACAGACCTCAAATTTTTGGTCGTCAGGGCTTCCTCACTCGTCCAAGGTTACGCGATAAGTGCCTACCGCTGAGTGCGCCGACGTCGGCGCAAGCGCTCATACAAGTCTTTCATTTATAGAATAGAATAGAAATTCTAAATTCTCACCTCTATGAGCGCGTGCTTAGGTTTCTTTTTCCTCGTAGTAAGCGCCTAGTGTCATTAGTCAGATTTAGTAGGATATTATAGCATAGGTATTTTCGTATTTGTATGAGAGTGATATATCTGTTACGTAGTAGCTAAGTAATCTGTGGTGTCGCTTTCCAGATCTGGAATTGCATATTATGGATCGTCAATTTAGCCGTACTGTGGTTGGCTTTCTACGCGACTGAACCGCTAAAAAACGCTGAGTTTGATAATCAAACTTATGATAACTTTGTGAATTCGTTCATGCGACCAGTGTGGGCTCTTGGAGTTGGCTGGCTTGTTCTTGCTTGCGCTGAAGGTTATGGAGGTAAGAAATATTTTAACACGGAATAAAATAAAATTCATAGAAATGCGTATCTAAATTTGAATCTATATTTGTTTTTCTGAAACAAACCAAAATTTTGTAACGGAAAAAAGAATCATATTGATACTATAAAATATTGTAAATTGTATGTAGAAGAATGTTCTACGGTAAATTAAAAATAAAATATTTAAATTTATAATTTTCTTAACTACAGTTCAGAATAAATTGGTTTGCATTAGTATTAGATAAGAAAGCTTATTACTTTATCATCTCAGTCAGCTGTGAATATGGAACTTGTAAATAGTCCGAAACGCTGGTTTGTGTAATAAACACATATGCGTAATTTAGAAATGGAAAAAAATATACTTCACTACTTTGGTACAAAGATTATTGATACAAAGATCAAACAGACGCAAAGAAAAATGCCTTTAATACAGCTGGATTCCAATTATCAATTGGAACCAACGACTATTTGCCAAATCGGAGCTACCGCAAGCCAATTGTGCTACGGAACAAATTAAATTTCTCCATATATTTATTGCCGATCTTTATTTTTGGGCTTAAACGGTTGTATAAATAGAGTTAAATCCTTTCAGGCCCGATCAACTGGTTTCTGTCGCTGCGAATTTGGAAATTGCCATCTCGGCTTTCTTACGCGATCTATTTGTTCCATTTTCCAATACAATACGTCATAAGGGGAGCCGCTTCCCAACACATACACTTTTCTGTTATGAATTTTGTGAGTATCTACTTGTTTAACTAATTTTGACTATTGTAACCTTTGTTGCCTTCTCATAAAGTCCACCTTGCTCCTGACATACTTCTATGTCTTCTAGTAGATAGCACGTTTAAACCAATATCGTAACTAAACGAAAATATAGGTTTTTAAAATTGCGCACCATGCTTCTCACGTATTTAAATAAAAGAATATTTAAATTTACTAAGTATGGGAGAAAAGAATGTGTTTTTATCTTTGACTTAAAGAGTGTATTGTGTATTATTTAAATTTAAAGTCGTTAATGACATATAATTAAACCGAGGAAATTGTACTTTCAATATTACACCAACGCTCATGAAAAGATGTAAATATAAAAAATACCATGGAACAAAGAAAAAGAGAGGCAGAAACATAAAGAAGTACAAAAAATTCAATATCTTACCGTATTGAAACAATTTGCAATTCAGTTTAAATTTTTGCGGCCCTTAAGATTTTGTTTTGTTCTAGATTTACATATTCTGCGGCCAATTTGTAATAGTTTTCATAATCAGCTTTGTTTTTACAATTCTGGTGGATTCTCCGTGTTCTACTATTTCCAAGGTGCTCTTAGGAGGTGGTAAGTAATGAAATTTAATAACAAGCATTTCCACATAAAGATTTGTATATGTCAGAGTAATGCCGATAAGAGCGATGTTGAGGTAAAAACCTTGTCACTGATTTAGTCAGGAATTATTTGATCATATATCGATTCACTTCGTTATTCGTCGCAAAATAATAACGTGAGTTCGATGCAATTAATAGTTTTATCCACTTTTCACAGTAATTAGCTCGAAAGTACTAAAATGGATAAGGCTAAAATAGATTCTAAATATCACGCTGCATGTTTGCAGAGAGCGGCCGCGCTTGTTCGCTTTCCAAGTAGCTCACACATTAAAAGTTCCTCTTGACAATGCTCGTTCATTTATAAAAGCATGGAACATAGACTTCCTCCTTATTTTCAAATGGCAACCCTGCCAACGACTAAATCAAAACGACATATATTCAAACGACACCAGCGCCATCCCCTCTGCGACCTCACCAGTTTGAGCTGTCAAGCTGACGTGACATTGTAAACAGAGAAATGTGCTCAAGAACAATTAATGTGACTCGTACATAGTCTAGTACATAATATTGTAGTACCTAATAACATTGTTACATTATGTTTGTAGTGATAACCGACTCCGACATTATGTATGTCATAAGAACACCTGCATTAGAAATGATATCTCTCGATTAATATGAAAAACTCCACTTTACAGGTATCAAAAAGTCAGACACAGAGCAACAAGATGATAAAAGAGATGTCCAAAAAACAAACTGTGATTAATCAAGGAACACACGACATTACCAATAGATAAACGAAATCGCAAAATTACATACTTTTTATTAAAAACTACATACCGAAAATGTTATTTTTCTTATCATTATTATTTTATACAAGAGACCACCATGTGTCGAATTTACGAGTTAATAAAACATGAATTTAAACAGTTTCAGTGTGCAATGCACAATGGGAATTGAGCGCGCCAACATCTCCTCTACCTATCTGAAAAATAGGGAGACCCGACCCGAGGCTCTAGTCTTTTGAAAACCAGAAGAAGTCTGTGTATATGGACTAATATAGGGTCAGGATCTGACTGATAAGGTCTCCATGCAGACTTGCTTGCACAGGTTATAGTGCCCTTCCTGCATAACCAAGAGGTTGATAGCGAGGGTCACTACAAACAAAACTTACGATAGATACGGAACTGTCCCTCAGCGTGAAAGTGGGACCTGTAACGAGCCCGAAATGTTGCTTTGTTTGAAAAAAACAAGTATATACAGTTGAAATCCGAAAAAACAGTTTCATTTCCAATATGTAGCAATCGTGACAACGTAAGAACTCGACACTACGAATTGCGTTCAACTCAAAGTGCTCTTTACTGTATTTATACTTGCTGGATTATTTTCTTTAATCAAGGACCGGGAGAATTGGCATGCCGAATTAATTAGCTCGATTAGGAGCTACGACGCTACAGCCAGACATGCACAAGGATACACAGACATAGGCTTTAAACTTATAACACTCTTTGCATCGGGAGTTTTCTGTCCCCAGCTCAATCACGGCACAAGCCTTCTAACAACTGGATGAAGTCCGTGCAAACGGGCTGGTCTGTGGTCAAGACCTGACTGAGAAAGTCCCTATGCGGGCTTGTTCGCACAAGTTATAGTGCACTTCCGGCGTAACCAAGAGGTTGATAGGGATATATCAACCATATCAACAAAGCTTATATAGAAAGATACGGAGTCTCCCAGCGTGACCATGGGACCTGTAACGAGCCCGAAATGTTGGTTTGTTTAAAAAAACAAATATACACTTATTTTTCGATTGAAATCTGAAAAAATAGTTTCATTTCTAATATGCTGTAATCGCGACTACCCAAGAACTCGACACCTTAACACAGCAACATTTAACGGGATACTGGTTAAGTTCCCAAAACAGTAAAGTATGTTTCCAAAAGTTTGGTCGATTGTCTTACGTTTTATTTTCGCTCTAAGTTTCAACGCACCCTTTTGATGTAGAGCGATGCCACATGACGGGTTGCGTCGGCGTTGCAACGCCTGATCGATAACGCTGAGTTATACTACATAATAATCAGAACTACATGCCAGATTACCATGTAAGCAGGTATCCCTGTTTTGAAACGACGCGGCGACAGAACGCATTCGTATCGGGCGAGGAGCCAGGAGACGAAACGGGGAGGAATGCTGCGACGCGTAGTATGCGGCGTCACGTTGCGACACCGCATTGCTCGTGTGGCACTTTATAGTTAATTTTTATTTATTTAAATATAAATATCACTATTTTTTTTTAAATTAACTTTGTTTTTGTTCCGCTAAATATGACGGCGTGTGTAATACCTTATCATTTAGCAAACGACGTTATATATTTAGTACGATATTGATCTCAATGTCGGCTGCTCGTTGCATGGATATTAAAATGAATTAATCACTAATCTAATCATAGATAGAATAAATATATTATTATGTGATTGAAACGGATTTAATAGATATGACTTTTTAAATCTGTAACAAGGTTGTATCGGTAATCTAATCTCAACTATATTATCACATTTTGTACTATTCGAATACAATGATGCCCTTAGGGTTGAGTCCGACTTATCAGCACGCTTGATTTAATTATATTATCAGCACGCTTAAAACTGAAGCACGATATTCGAAAAAAATGGCCGTAAAGAATTTTTTCGAGAAAACAACGGTGTTAAAAAAAAACTTTTTTTATATATTCCGCTGTGGTAGACTAACGATTTGACCTACTGTCTCTCGAGTAGAAGCCGTGGGTTCAAATTCGGGCTAGCACCTCTGAATTTCTCGGAATCTCCTCCTCGCCTGAGACCTATGCCCAGCAGTGGGACGTGTAATGATGGGTTGGTGATGAAAACTGTAATTTATGAAGCGGTGATTGTAAACATTTTTCTTCAGGTAACAAAGTACAGCAAAGGGATTGTGAGAATTTATGACAAATGACACGATAATATGTATTTTTACAAAATGTTTCCTTTTAATATTTGCAACCTCTGTTTCTTTAAGTTTTTTATAGTGTTAGTCTTTGAAATAGATTAAGTATGTACAGATCAAAATTTTTATTAATTACATCATCTTTTTTTTTATGATACCTACTAATTGATGGGACAAAAAAGGCGTGCGCCTGAAGGTAAGCGACACGCTTGTGCATAACAGTTGCAGTGCCACTCAGAGCTTTAAATCTCAAAGATCTGTGGTGCGCTGCCTCTGCGCCCTTCACCCTGAGATATAAGTTGAAAAGTTCCTTGTGCCTGTAATTTCACCAAATTACTGGCACTCCTTATTATTATCATCATCATCATTTCAAGAAAAAAGAAGTAGAAAGACATTCACTGCTGAACATATACCTCCCTCAGCGAACGCCACATCGACAGGTTTTGTGCCGCCTGCGGATTCTCGCAACCTTGACCAGATCATCGATCCACCTTGTGGGTGTCCTGTTCACGTTGCTTCTTCGGGCACGCGGAACAGACGAGGAACCCACTGACACTCAAGTTTTGCAACTCTTTGGTCCATGTCGGTTACTCTAATTACATTCGTGTAGCAAATATGTTCGAGGATTTGCTTTCACATGGCTTTCACGGTATAATTATCAAATTGCTTTACTTTTGAAATGACTGAATAAAATGGCGCCTGATACAAGAACCCAAATTTCCTTCCGTCTAAAAAACGAAGTATAGACTGCTTTGTACCAACGTCAAAGTAAAAGGTTGGAAAACGAATGAGAGAAAAACCTACAAAGGAAAAGAAAAATTATCAGGAGAGCTAAGGTTGGAATGTGAGAAACCTTCCATCATAAAAAATATAACAACATTCGAAAACAGGCAATCAGAAAACGAATTTCGCATTAGGCCAATTGCTTCGTAACTTTTTCAATAGACGAATTACGTGGCCTACCAGAGAAGTATATGGATTTAATTTTTATATAGCTATATGGATTTCAATTTGTACCGTTGAACTTTATAAATATATATAGGGTGCCAAGAAATTTGGTACAGATACTTTAAGAACCAATTATTTAAGCTCTTCATTATCATTTTGGAGTAAGATAATCGAAAAATTTAAGAAAAGAAATTACTACTACAGACTGTTAGTAGCAATTGTTCTTTGTGCTTAATACCTCTTCAATGTTATCTTTTGAGACTTCACTAAAATGAAAGAAGAATGTCAATGTCTACATAAATTTCAAAGAAGTAATTACTTTGCTACGGTAATGTATTTAAAAAAAAATTGCGAATGTGAGTAAAATTTAAATATTTAGTTTTGATTTTATCGTTCCGGGGATTTTTGAGGGAGGTACAATCCACTCTATGGTTATTACTTCCTCGTATATATGTATAAGTTTGCGTAAATACGTATGGTATACACTATTTTTATCGATGTCTGCTTATAACACACCATAATGATGATGTTGATAGGTAACTATGTTTAACTTCTCGACGAAGACATAAATGTTTCTTTCCCATAGAAACTCAAATTTTAAAATAGCTTAAAAAGTTTTAATTAAATTTTTATTGAATTGATATATAATTATTTTTTGTGAAATGACTCCACTAGTTTGTTATAATTATTAATACAAAGATCGAACACTCAGAAAAAACACTGAGAAAAAATTCCTTCGATCCGGTCGGATTCGAACCGACGTCTTCTTGCATACCGTGCCAGACGCTATACCAACTAAGCCACCTACGGAACGAACCAACGGACCTCACGAATTTTTCTATGTGCTTGCGTCGTGTCTTTGTACTTGGTCTTTCAACGACTTTTTTGTCGTAGCGCCATCTATGAGAAATCTTTAACAGATTTATCATCCAGTTAGTACCTTTACAGTTATCAGTCCTGGCGAGAGATGTCGCTATTCACTGTATTAATTAAATTTTAAATTTTAAATTAAATAAATTTTTAATTCCGGATTTAAGACCGGATCGAAGGAATTTTTTCTGAGTGTTCGATCTTTGTATTAATAATTATTTAAAAAGTTTTTTTATTTGAATTTTAAGTAAGTACTTCTGACCCAACTGTAAAATTATCTGTACCTGATTTGTCAGCACCTTATATTGTTCCATCCCCCTGTTGTAAACTGTTTACACAAGTTAAAATTAATAATCTAAACTTCACTGTCATGATTTATAAGGACTCAGTAAGTTAGGCTCATGCCGGGAATTAAATTTCGTCCCTCTTGGTTGGAAGGCAGTTTTCCAAGCTTAATTATCCTTGTCTGCTTAAATGTGTTACTTTGTATCCTATCTCCTATGGTTATGGTATTGACACATTTCTCTCGTTCTCTTGCAATTTGGTCATCCATTTTAATTTAAAGTTAATGATGCAAAGCCCCTTCCTCGTTTCGAACAAAGAATGCACTGACTATGATTAACAACTTGCGGTAACTTGCTGTATTGTAATGTTGTTAAATTTTGTAATTATAGTTCAGAATATGGTGGTTTTGTATTAATATTAGACAAACTCGTTGATGACTTTACCGTCTCAGTCAACCGTGACTATAGGACCTGTAAAGAGCACTAAACGAAAGTTTATTTGAAAAAGCACTATCCATAGATCAATCATTATCCGAAACAATAATTTTATTTCCAATGTTATTTAAGTTTTTTGGTGAGAATTTTTTATTTTATTCAGAAAGAAAGAAAAAAAGAAAGAATAAAATTCTTTTTTTTTATTTTGTATTTTATTTTGATTAATTATTCAAATTTCTTCCAGAAAACAAACCTTTTTTTTATGATGCTGAGATATTCAATTCAATTCAATTCAATTCAATTCATTTATTGCGTCATATAAAGTTACAGAGGTCTTAAAATATGTAATAATAGTCCTTATTATATGATACCCTGCAAGGGCATAGCAAAGAATGACAGATATAAGTTTGACAAGTCCCATGTGCTTGTAATTTCACCAACACCCGTACCCTTCAATACACAATAATGCTCACATTACTGTTTGGCAGCCTGAAATAGGTAAGGTAGCAATACTTCCCTAGATGAACTTGTAACACATTTTTTTGGTAGATCTCTTAAATACCAAAACAAAAACAAAATGTATCTTCTCTCCTTGGTAATTTCAACATTCTTGTACAAAATGTCACTTTGACATTATAGTTTAAAAATATTTAGTAAATTAATTGAAACTCTTTAAGTGTTGGTGTAATCTATTATTAAATCCATTCACATATATATTACCTGTTGGTGAACGATTTTTCTATAAAATCAATATCGTGAATGGGTACCCTTTAGTTTGACATATTTTTGAAAACACAAACCCTGGCTAATTTTTCTTGTATGGTATCACAGAACACTAGTGCTGCGTACCAATAAACTCGATTTTATTTCTGTAGTCGAGCTTCATGTAAATTATAGCTTTTCTTTAATATTTCCACGTCGAACGCCGTCAAATAGTTTGCCAAGTACTTTCTGTAAAGTAAGAAACGTAAACCTGGAATCGCCATGTATTCTTGCGGGTTTAGGTGATAAGACTTGGGAGCTGTATCTAGATGATTCGATACATTGTCTGTGGCGTTGTTCGCGGGTAACATCTCTTAGGAGGAATTCGGCGGAAGCTCATCTTTTCTGTTCGACACGTCGGTGCGCAAGGTGTTCCAGATTTCCTAGATCGTCTACGGTGATTTATCCCATTGGGGGCATGGTCCCCCAATGCCTTCTTAAATAAAATAAACTAGGAATAGCCAGATGCCGTAATTATGGGTCTCCGAACCCTGTACCAAAAGTAAAACCCGTGTCACCGGACCGCATGGTGAGTTGACCTCTGGATTCTTTCCTTCATTAGATGCTTCGTCATTTATATCAATGTACTGTAACAATCTGTATTGTTGCAGGGTTCTTCTTTGTTGTCTTAGTTGTACCTTT